AGTAGGAGTGTGCAGTTTGTTAGACAGATCCTAAAGGTACAGTAGGAGTGTGCAGTGTTAGACAGATCCTAAGGTATAGTAGGAGTGTGCAGTTGTTAGACAGATCCTAGAGGTACAGTAGGAGTGTGCAGTTGTTAGACAGATCCTAAAGGTACAGTAGGAGTGTGCAGTTGTTAGACAGATCCTAAAGGTAGTAGGAGTGTGCAGTTGTTAGACAGATCCTAAAGGTACAGTAGGAGTGTGCGTTGTTAGACAGATCCTAGAGGTACAGTAGGAGTGTGCAGTTGTTAGACAGATCCTAAAGGTATAGTAGGAGTGTGCAGTTGTTAGACAGATCCTAAAGGTACAGTAGGAGTGTGCAGTTGTTAGACAGATCCTAGAGGTATAGTAGGAGTGTGCAGTTGTTAGACAGATCCTAAGGTACAGTAGGAGTGTGCAGTTGTTAGACAGATCCTAGAGGTACAGTAGAGTGTGCAGTTGTTAGACAGATCCTAAAGGTATAGTAGGAGTGTGCAGTTGTTAGACAGATCCTAAAGGTACAGTAGGAGTGTGCAGTTGTTAGACAGATCCTAAAGGTACAGTAGGAGTGTGCAGTTGTTAGACAGATCCTAAAGGTACAGTAGGAGTGTGCAGTTGTTAGACAGATCCTAAAGGTACAGTAGGAGTGTGCAGTTGTTAGACAGATCCTAAAGGTACAGTAGGAGTGTGCAGTTGTTAGACAGATCCTAGGTATATAGGAGTGTGTTGTTAGACAGATCCTAAAGGTATAGTAGGAGTGTGCAGTTGTTAGACAGATCCTAAAGGTATAGTAGGAGTGTGCAGTTGTTAGACAGATCCTAAAGGTATAGTAGGAGTGTGCAGTTGTTAGACAGATCCTAAAGGTATAGTAGGAGTGTGCAGTTGTTAGACAGATCCTAAAGGTATAGTAGGAGTGTGCAGTTGTTAGACAGATCCTAAAGGTACAGTAGGAGTGTGCAGTTGTTAGACAGATCCTAAAGGTATAGTAGGAGTGTGCAGTTGTTAGACAGATCCTAAAGGTACAGTAGGAGTGTGCAGTTGTTAGACAGATCCTAAAGGTACAGTAGGAGTGTGCAGTTGTTAGACAGATCCTAAAGGTACAGTAGGAGTGTGCAGTTGTTAGACAGATCCTAAAGGTATAGTAGGAGTGTGCAGTTGTTAGACAGATCCTAAAGGTATAGTAGGAGTGTGCAGTTGTTAGACAGATCCTAAAGGTACAGTAGGAGGGTGCAGTTGTTAGACAGATCCTAAAGGTATAGTAGGAGTGTGCAGTTGTTAGACAGATCCTAAAGGTATAGTAGGAGTGTGCAGTTGTTAGACAGATCCTAAAGGTACAGTAGGAGTGTGCAGTTGTTAGACAGATCCTAAAGGTACAGTAGGAGTGTGCAGTTGTTAGACAGATCCTAAAGGTACAGTAGGAGTGTGCAGTTGTTGACAGATCCTAAAGGTACAGTAGGAGTGTGCAGTTGTTAGACAGATCCTAAAGGTACATAGTAGGAGTGTGCAGTTGTTAGACAGATCCTAAAGGTAGTAGTAGGGTGCAGTTGTTAGACAGATCCTAAGGTACGTAGGAGTGTGCAGTTGTTAGACAGATCCTAGAGGTATAGTAGGAGTGTGCAGTTGTTAGACAGATCCTAGAGGTACAGTAGGAGTGTGCAGTTGTTAGACAGATCCTAAAGGTACAGTAGGAGTGTGCAGTTGTTAGACAGATCCTAAAGTAAGTAGGAGTGTGCAGTTGTTAGACAGATCCTAAAGGTATAGTAGGAGTGTGCAGTTGTTAGACAGATCCTAAAGGTACAGTAGGAGTGTGCAGTTGTTAGACAGATCCTAAAGGTACAGTAGGAGTGTGCAGTTGTTAGACAGATCCTAAAGGTATAGTAGGAGTGTGCAGTTGTTAGACAGATCCTAAAGCACTGGTTCTCCTCAGGTGCACCAGCTGGGCTGCGAGGCGGTGATGCTGCTCTTGGAGCTGAACCCAGATCAGAGTAACTTGATGTTCTGGGCTGTGGACCGCTGCTACACCGGGGCCCGCCGCGTGGCTGCAGGCTGCTTCAGGGCCATCGCGAACGTGTTCCACAACAGGTAACACACACACACACACACACACACACACACACACACAAGACACACACAGACACACACACACACACACACACACACACACACACACAGAGATAAATACACACACACACATACACACACACACACAGATAAATACACACACAGATAAATACACACACACACACATACACACACACACACACACACACACAGAGATAAATACACACACACACATACACACACACACACAGATAAATACACACACAGATAAATACACACACACACACATACACACACACACACACACACACACACACAAAGGACGTTCGATAGGCACTGAGACTAAATAGAGTGAATTGTGCAGCCTCTTGTAAACTTTTTTCACTGTCTTCAATCTAGCTTTGAAGATTCTTTTTAGTGTTGGTTATAACTAGCTTTAATCATTTTTTCTGAAACCATATGTTCCCAGTTTGTGTATGTGACGCTCATTCGAGTCTTCCAGTTTATGGACCAACAGATTTAGTCTCAGTTTTAGTTAAACAGAGCCGGTTGTGACTGACGTGTGTTTCTGTTCCTCCTCTCAGGGATTACCAGTTTGACACGGTGGTGCTTCTGAACCTGATCCTGTTCAAAGCTGCGGATTCTTCCAGAGACATCTACGAGGCGGCCATGCAGCTGCTGCAGGTACATGCATCCTCCTCCATCACACGTAACTCTGATATTAACACTTTCATTCTTTTAAACAACATATTTAGAAGACAGGACACAGCTTACTCAAACTTGCATCAAAAATGTGAAAGGCAAAAAAAAGCCAGGACATCATTTGAAAAAAATAAAATTGAAATATATATATAATAAAAAAAAAGACATTAAATAAAATAAAAACAATTGTGTCGTAGCAACATTATCCTAAAAGGTGTCCATAGTCACAGCAGTTTAAGAAGTACTTTCCCTTTCAACCAGATCCCCCTCATGGGATCATAACGCTTTGATCTGTAATTAATGAATGATGTCGTGGCAGATCCTGGAGCCGAAGCTCTTCAGGTACGCCCACAAACTGGAGATCCAGAGAGGCGACGGCATCCTGACCCCCCCCCTCCCCGCTGCCTCACCTCTACTCCGTCTCCTACTACCAGCTGTCAGAGGAACTCGCCCGGACCTATCCCGAGCTCACGCTGCCCATCTTCTCAGGTCTGAAGCTCCACACCTCCATCATCCTCTCACTAACGCTCTGACTTCCTGTCGCTCTCTAACTCTCTGCCTTCCTGTCCTCCAGAGGTGAGTCAGCGGATCCAGACGGCGCACCCTGGTGGCCGGCAGGTGATGCTGCACTACCTGCTGCCGTGGATGAACAACGTGGAGCTGGTTGATCTGAAGCCCAGCACGAGGCGGGCGGAGGAGGGCGGCAGCGCTGAAGAAGAGGAGGAGGAGCGGGAGACGATGATGGTGAACAGCCGGCGCTGGCTGAGAGGAGAAGGCTGGGGTTCACCTCGAGCGACCACCATGGTGCTCAACAACCTCATGTTCATGACCGCCAAGGTGAGAGGGACGCTGCAGATCTACAGCTCCATCACAACATGTCTTAATACATTTCCTATCAGCACATCTCTGGTGAAGACTTAGCAGAGAACAGATTTCTGAGTGAAAAACTGGATTCTCAGCCAAATTATTTTCTTAGAATTTTTTTTTATGAATTCTGAACAAAATTAAATCTCTGAGAAAAAAGTGAATTATGTGGAAAAAATACAAAATGATGCGAAAAAAAAAAGAAATTACAGAAGATAAACTCTCTTTGAAACTCTGAGAAAAATCCCAAATTCTGAGGAAAGTCAAAACTCTGAGAAATTACATATTCTGGAGAAAAAAGTCAAAAAAGTCTATTCTAAAAAAAAGACATTTCTGAGAAAAAGTCAGATCAGGAAAAAACACAAAATTCAGAAAAAACATAATTCTGACAAAAAAGTCAAAGCTGTGAGAAATAAACATTTTCTGAGAAGAAACTGAATTCTGAAAAAAAGACAACATTCTGAGAAAAAACCCTTTTTGTATTTGGTTAAATCTTTGAATTACCAAAGGACCTCACTTGTTCAAGAAAGTGAAAAAAAAAATCTTAAATTTAATAACAAACCCTGACTGTTTAAAGTTATCCGATTACAAGCGTTTGATTTACCTGGAGTCCAGTTCGTTCATCTCATTGAACTGGTTGGTCACATTTTATAATATCGTTGAGTTGCTATGTGCTCGGTATTATTATTATTATTATAAATGAATCCTGAAACGTTGAATATCCCCTCAGTACGGGGATGAGTTCGCCTGGTCGGAGATCGAGAACGTTTGGACCACGTTAGCCGACAGCTGGCCGAAGAACCTGAAGATCATCCTGCACTTCCTCACCAGCATGTCGGGGGTCAGCAGCGACCCCAGCCTCCTGCTATACGTGAGTCCAAATGCTACATCAATTCATCAATTAAGCTTTATTCAGATAGCCCAATACCACAAACCGTAGTGGCAGATACGGAATGGCATGTTAATCTATAAGCTTTATCACAGAGGAAGGCCCTTCAAGATGTCTCCCATCATGCATTTTGTGTGTGTGTGTGTGTGTGTGTCCTCAGGTGAAGCGTGTGGTGGTGTATCTGGGTCGGGATAAGACCATGCAGCTGCTGGAGGAGCTGATGTTTGAGCTGGAGAGCACGGAGCCTGTTAGCTCAGCCGTCACTCACATGGACAACCCTCCATACTACCGCATCACCTCCAGCTACAAGATCCCCTCCGTCACCTCAGGTAAGCTAAAGGAGGCTAATGTTGGGCTATAAAGGAACTACAGCACAGTCACATGACTTCACGTCACCACCGCTAAGCTAAAGGAGGCTAATGTTGGGCTATAAAGGAACTACAGCACGGTCACAATGACTTCACAGTCACCACCGCTAAGCTAAAGGAGGCTAATGTTGGGCTATAAAGGAACTACAGCACGGTCACATGACTTCACGTCACCACCCGCTAAGCTAAAGGTGGCTAATGTTGGGCTATAAAGGAACTACAAAGCACGGTCACATGACTTCACGTCACCACCGCTAAGCTAAAGGTGGCTAATGTTGGGCTATAAAGGAACTACAGCACGGTCACATGACTTCACGTCACCACCGCTAAGCTAAAGGTGGCTAATGTTGGGCAATAAAGGAACTACAGCACGGTCACATGACTTCAACGTCACCACCGCTAAGCTAAAGGCGGCTAATGTTGGGCTATAAGGAACTACAGCACGGTCACATGACTTCACGTCAACCACCACTAAGCTAAAGGAGGCTAATGTTGGGCTATAAGGAACTACGCACGGTCACATGACTTCACGTCACCACCGCTAAGCTAAAGGAGGCTAATGTTGGGCTATAAAGGAACTACAGCACGGTCACATGACTTCACGTCACCACCACTAAGCTAAAGGCGGCTAATGTTGGGCTATAAAGGAACTACAGCACGGTCACATGACTTCACGTCACCACCGCTAAGCTAAAGGTGGCTAATGTTGGGCTATAAAGGAACTACAGCACGGTCACATGACTTCACGTCACCACCGCTAAGCTAAAGGAGGCTAATGTTGGGCTGTAAAGGAACTACAGCATGGTCACATGACTTCACGTCACCACCGCTAAGCTAAAGGAGGCTAATGTTAGGCTATAAACTTTAAGTCATGTGACTGTGCTGTAGTTCCTATAAAGGAACTACAGCACAGTCACATGACTTCACCTCACCACCGCTAAGCTAAAGGAGGCTAATGTTGGACTATAAAGGAACTACAGCTCGGTCGCACTGATTGGTGGAGGTCAATCTGCCTCCTGATTCTGAACTGTTTTGTTATTGCTTGTCTCTCCTCAGGAACGACCTCCAGCAGCAACACCATGGTGCCCAACACCGAAGGGCATCACGACGTAAAGCTGAAAGACCCCAACATGGAGGAAAGGTATGAGCCGACACGTCAGCAGGAAACTCAGACACGGGGGGAACATGAGTAGTGCTCCATTTTCATTTTATGAAACCCCCGCTGTGTTTGTGTGCAGTTACACCCACCTGGACATCTACAGCGGTCTGAACAGTAATCTGAACCGGCAGCACCACCGCCTGGAGTCTCGATACAGCAGCAGCTCCGGAGGGTCCTACGAGGAGGAGAAGAGTAAGAGGACATCTTGTAGAGCCCACACACACAACAACACAGACTATAACACCCCTTGTTGTTAAATACCAACTATGTGCAATAGGTGCAATATATATGCCGTTAATAACTGTGCAATACATACCTGGCTGCTAAATCCTCTGTTACAGGATGTGCATTTTGTAAATTGTGTTATTTTTGTAATCTTTAATATTTGTTTAAGCATGCTTCTCAGGTAACATTAAGCTGTCTTTGGCTCTTTTCTGTTAAACCTGTAAATAAACTATAACAGGATATCATTGAATCTAACCTCCTCTACGTGCCCCCCCCCCCCCCCCCCCCTTCAGGTGACTCCATGCCGCTGTATGCTAACTGGCGTCTGAAGGTGATGGACCACAACCGGCCCGAGCCTCTTCCCTTCCCCCCCACCGGAGGCTGCTGGTCTCCTCTGGTGGACTACCTGCCGGAGACCAACGCCCCCGGGGTGCCGCTGCACAGGTAACACCCTCCCACCACCCGTCCCTTTATTTCCTGAGCTTACTGTAAGGCAAACATCTGAGAAAAAAGTTGTAATTGGGTAAATCTTTGAGGTAACTAAACACCTCCCTCACTCGGGTCTTACAGATCCAAAAAGCGATAACAAAAAATGATCTTAAATGTAATAAACCCTGACTGTTTAAAGTAATCAGATTACAAACGTTCGTTCTCCAGTTCGTTCTTCTCATTGAACTGATTGGTAATATAAATATAACATATATTACATTTTATAATATCGTTGAGTTGCTTTGTGCTTGGTAATGTTATTATAAATGAATCCTGAAACGCTGAATATCCCCTCAGTACGGGGATGAGTTCGCCTGGTCGGAGATCGAGTCATTTGGACCACGTTAGCCGGCAGCTCGTACTTTATTTCCTGTGCTTACTATAAACGTTGAATATTTGTGTTGCAGGTGTAACATCGCAGTGATCCTCCTCACAGACCTCATCGTGGACCACGGGGTGAAAGTGGAGTGGAACGCCTACCTGCACCTCCTGCTGCACGCCATCTTTATAGGTGAGCTGTGGGCACTATCACACTGTATGACAGGAACCAAGTACCATGTGCCTCGACATCAGTGTCTCAAACGTGTTCATACCAAGGACCACTTGAAGACCACCTAACTCCCCAAATATCCAGAAGCCAAACCCCTGCTCACCACTCCAACAGTTTACAGCCTAATAATGACAGCTTAACTTCTCACATGAAATCAACAATACAACTACACTTTGAGAAACACTGCCTACATCATATCAAAGGAGGCCAGAAGCACCAGGATGTTCTTTGTACATTAGCTATTCCCACCCATGTTGGGATGTAAGGGGTTAAATGAGCACAAAGCATGCAACAGTGCTTAGTAGGCAGTACTTCACTACTTGAATCTAACTACAGATTGTGTCTGAGCAAACCTTACTGACTTAATCGATAACTTTTCTTTTGATAACCAACGTCACCCTGATTAATGTGGTGAAAGTTATAATTGCATTTAATCCGACAGGTTAATTCATCTTTCTCTCTCTTATTGCCCCTCAATTCAAAATAAAAATAACTTCTTTTAATATGTCTCTTTTTCAAGGATTAGTCAGAACTAAAGGTGAAAGGAAACGGTATTAACTGACCTCACTCTCCTCCTCCTCCTCCTCCTCATCCTCCTCCTCCTCCTCCTCCTCCTCCTCCTCCTCCTCCTCCTCCTCCTCCTCCTCCTCCTCCTCAGGGTTTGACCACCAGCACCCCGAGGTGTACGAGCACTGTAAGCGCCTGCTGCTCCACCTGCTGGTGGTTCAGGGAGCTAACAGCAGCGTGCAGTCAGTGGCCATGGTGCTGCTGAGGAACAGGGACTACAATGAGCCCAGAGTCCTCACTGTGAAGCCCCCCGCCCCCGACATCAACCTCACAGGTGAGAGAAGCTGTAGAGATCAACCTCACAGGTGAGAGAGCAACCTCACAGGTGAGAGAGCAACCTCACAGGTGAGAGATCAACCTCACAGGTGAGAGATCAACCTCACAGATGAGAGAGCAACCTCACAGGTGAGAGATCAACCTCACAGGTGAGAGATCAACCTCACAGGTGAGAGAGCAACCTCACAGGTGAGAGATCAACCTCACAGGTGAGAGATCAACCTCACAGGTGAGAGAGCAACCTCACAGGTGAGAGATCAACCTCACAGGTGAGAGATCAACCTCACAGGTGAGAGAGCAACCTCACAGGTGAGAGAGCAACCTCACAGGTGAGAGATCAACCTCACAGGTGAGAGATCAACCTCACAGGTGAGAGAGCAACCTCACAGGTGAGAGATCAACCTCACAGGTGAGAGATCAACCTCACAGGTGAGAGATCAACCCCACAGGTGAGAGATCAACCTCACAGGTGAGAGATCAACCTCACAGGTGAGAGATCAACCTCATAGGTGAGAGTAGCTGTAGAGAGATCAACCTCACAGGTGAGAGATCAACCCCACAGGGTGAGAGAGCAACCTCACAGGTGAGAGAGCAACCTCACAGGTGAGAGATCAACCTCACAGGTGAGAGATCAACCTCACAGGTGAGAGAGCAACCTCACAGGTGAGAGAGCAACCTCATAGGTGAGAGTAGCTGTAGAGAGAGCAACCTCACAGGTGAGAGATCAACCCCACAGGGTGAGAGAGCAACCTCACAGGTGAGAGAGCAACCTCACAGGTGAGAGATCAACCTCACAGGTGAGAGATCAACCTCACAGGTGAGAGAGCAACCTCACAGGTGAGAGATCAACCTCACAGGTGAGAGATCAACCTCACAGATGAGAGAGCAACCTCACAGGTGAGAGATCAACCTCACAGGTGAGAGATCAACCTCACAGGTGAGAGAGCAACCTCACAGGTGAGAGATCAACCTCACAGGTGAGAGATCAACCTCACAGATGAGAGAGCAACCTCACAGGTGAGAGATCAACCTCACAGGTGAGAGATCAACCTCACAGATGAGAGAGCAACCTCACAGGTGAGAGATCAACCTCACAGGTGAGAGATCAACCTCACAGGTGAGAGATCAACCTCACAGGTGAGAGATCAACCTCACAGGTGAGAGATCAACCTCACAGGTGAGAGATCAACCTCATAGGTGAGAGTAGCTGTAGAGAGATCAACCTCACAGGTGAGAGATCAACCTCACAGGTGAGAGAGCAACCTCACAGGTGAGAGAGCAACCTCACAGGTGAGAGAGCAACCTCACAGGTGAGAGATCAACCTCACAGGTGAGAGTTCAACCTCACAGGTGAGAGTAGCTGTAGAGAGATCAACCTCACAGCTGAGAGAGCAACCTCACAGGTGAGAGATCAACCTCACAGGTGAGAGAGCAACCTCACAGGTGAGAGATCAACCTCACAGGTGAGAGAGCAACCCCACAGCTGAGAGAGCAACCTCACAGGTTGAGAGAGCAACCTCACAGGTTGAGAGAGCAACCTCACAGGTGAGAGATCAACCTCACAGGTGAGAGAGCAACCCCACAGCTGAGAGAGCAACCTCACAGGTTGAGAGAGCAACCTCACAGGTTGAGAGATCAACCTCACAGGTGAGAGAGCAACCTCACAGGTGAGAGAGCAACCTCACAGGTGAGAGCGCAACCCCACAGGTGAGAGAGCAACCCCACAGGTGAGAGAGCAACCCCACAGGTGAGAGAGCAACCCCACAGGGTGAGAGAGCAACCTCACAGGTGAGAGAGCAACCTCACAGGTGAGAGAGCAACCTCACAGGTCGGCGTATCTGAAAACGCATGTGTTGTAGTACCAGAGCAGACCACTAGGGGGCAGCAATAATCAACACGCAGGCGGACAGAACTGTGCTTTCATTGAGTTTCAATTGTAACCAAAGTCCCAGAAGCTCCTAAAGACTCAGATGTTATCTATGAAGTGTTTCCCTCACTGAGTGTGTTGTTGTTGTTGTTTCAGGCGTGCAGGAGCTGCTCCCCTCCGCCATGACGGACTCCGGCCTCAGCGCCTCCTCCACCTCCTCCAGCCTCGGGGTGGGGGGGGTGACCCACCTCGCCCCCCCGCTGATCAGTGAGGTCGACGCTTCTGCAGAACAAGACGAGAAAGTCAGAGCTCTCATCGAGTTCATCACGTCCAGGTGAGAGGAACAACAACAACAACAACAACAACACTGACATCAACACAGCCACAAATATTACTATTACTACTATTATTATAACTACTTATGATTAAATAACCTGGCCAACGACGGATCGATTTTAGTTTAGGACAATGGATGAAAATCTAATTAAAGTTTTTGTCTGAGCAAACCTTACTGACTTAATTGATAACTTCTTAATTGATAACTTCTTAATTGATAACTTCTTAATTGATAACGTCTTAATTGATAACTTCTTAATTGATAACTTCTTAATTGATAACTTCTTAATTGATAACTTCTTAATTGATAACTAACATCGCCCTAATTAATATGGTGAAAGTTAAAATTGCAATTAATCCCATAGCTTAATTCATCTCTCTCTCTTGTCTGTTTTTTGGGGGTGAAAAAGTCAGTTAAAGCTGAAGTGTGCATTTTGAATGCTGTAATGCAGTATTTATCAGTTTGCATCAAATCAACACGCGTTCACCAAGCTTCTCTTTCTGTTCATAATCTGCCTTCACGCCTCCAGCTGTGTCTCAAAGGGTATTTTTACATCGCATGGTTTGGTGTTTTGGGTTTGGTGACACCTTGGCATTTCTTATGGAGGTCTAAAGCTGCCATTATATTAAATGTACGACTTAATTAACAAATCAGTACAAATATTTATTTTTTATGCACGGGGCAAATCACGTGTTTTTGTATTTTTAATTATTAAGCAACGTATTTTATTTTTACATTTATTAATGTAATTATTCATTTATTGTGTAATTTTAAATGTATACATTTTTATTGATAGAATGATTTTATTGAACTCAAAGTAACGAATATACTGGCAGCTTTAATCCTCCCTGTGTGTGTGTGTGTGTGTGTGTGTGTGTGTGTGTGTGTGTGTGTGTGTGTGTGTGTGTGTGTGTGTGTGTGTGTGTGTGTGTGTGTGTGTGTGTGTGTGTGTGTGTGTGTGTGTGTGTGTGTGTGTGGTGTGTGTGTGTGTGTGTGTGTGTGTGTGTGTGTGTGTGTGTGTGTGTGTGTGTGTGTGTGTGTGTGTGTGTGTGTGTGTGTGTGTGTGTGTTTTAGGAAGCGTGGCCCGCTGTGGAACCACGAGGACGTTTCTCCAAAGAACCCGAACATAAAGAGCGCCGAGCAGCTGAGTGTGTTTGTGCGGCACGTGGTGACCGTCTTCAAGCACTCGCCCTCAGGTCCGTACTTCCTGTTGATTGTTGTTATCACAAACGGATTCATTAAACCTTCGATTCTGATTGGTCAATTTGGGAAGCCGGCGGTCTGTTATATCTCGATAGCAGAGTGCAGCTTATTAAGGGACTGAGTAGTCATATCAATCCGCAGGAAGAATTCCGGTCAATAAAAAAAATAAAATCTCTGAATTCTGAAAAGGAACAAAAAGGTTTTCTCAGAATCCTCAGAAAATAAAATATGTTCTGAGCAAAAATACAAATTCTGATTTAAATCAGAAATGTTTTTTCCAAAAAATTAAAAAAATTTCTTAAATTGCTGAGAAAAAAAGAAAATTCTGAGATTTTAAGAAAAAAAACTCGAAAAAAATCTGAATTCTGACGTAAAAAAAAAGTTTAATCGCACAATTTTTTTCTTTTAAGAAAAAGTGTTTTCAGAAAAAAGTTGTTACTTTTATTAATAATGTTTAGAAAAGTCAGAATTCTCAATTCTGAGGTTTTCAGATTTTTTAATTTTTTTAATTTCAGAATTCTGACTTTAATCAGAAAAAAATATTCTCATGAAAATATTTCTAATTCGGAGAATTATTAGGAAACAATCTGCATTCTGACTTGACTTTGGAACAATGGTTTCACCTGACGCTAATCTTCTTCTGTCGTTTTTGTATATATTTAATTTTTATGTAATAACTTTTAATTTAGTTTTAATGTTTTTATTTATATATTTTTGGTTTTCATATATTGGGTTATATATTTGGGTTTTAGTTTGATGCACATTTAGTTGTAATTGTTTCATATTTAGTTCCAGTTTATATGTATATTATATATATATTTATAAATATGTGGAGGACAGACGACAGACGGACAGGAAGTAACAAAACAATCATTTTTAAATGAATAAAATCAAGACTCCGGGTTCTTTGAGTTAAAGCCGGGTCTTATTATCCATCACAATCCCCCCGGGTTCAGGTGATGATAGAACTATTAACAAAGCACTTATATACTAATAAAGGACTGGCTTACCTAAAGCCAGTTGAGTAGCACTTGAAATGTTTTGGCTCTATGAAACCTGATGTACTTTATGATTCTGCTTTCTTCAAGGTTGTGTCTTCCTGGTCGAATGTAAGTCGCTTTGGATAAAAGCGTCAGCTAAATGCAATGTAATGTAATATCTCCCCCCCCCCCCCCCCCCTCAGGTTTCCAGCTGGACTCCCTGCTGAGCGAGGTGTCCCTGCAGACCGCTCTCTCCTGCTCCTCCAGACATTACGCAGGACGGTCCTTCCAGATCTTCAGAGCTCTGAAGCAGCCTCTGACTCTGGGCACGCTGTCCGACATCCTGTCCAGACTGGTGGAGACGGTGGGAGACCCTGGAGAGGAGGCGCAGGTCAGGACATAATACCCCTTCTACTTTAATATCCACATACTTTTACTCACTTCTGGAGAGGAGGCGCAGGTCAGGACATAATACCCCTTCTACTTTAATATCCACATACTTTTACTCACTTCTGGAGAGGAGGCGCAGGTCAGGACATAATACCCCTTCTACTTTAATATCCACATACTTTTACTCACTTCTGGAGAGGAGGCGCAGGTCAGGACATAATACCCCTTCTACTTTAATATCCACATACTTTTACTCACTTCTGGAGAGGAGGCGCAGGTCAGGACATAATACCCCTTCTACTTTAATATCCACATACTTTTACTCACTTCTGGAGAGGAGGCGCAGGTCAGGACATAATACCCCTTCTACTTTAATCTCCACATACTTTTACTCACTTCTGGAGAGGAGGCGCAGGTCAGGACATAATACCCCTTCTACTTTAATATCCACATACTTTTACTCACTTCTGGAGAGGAGGCGCCGGTCGGGACATAATACCCCTTCTACTTTAATATCCACATACTTTTACTCACTTCTGGAGAGGAGGCGCAGGTCAGGACATAATACCCCTTCTACTTTAATATCCACATACTTTTACTCACTTCTGGAGAGGAGGCGCAGGTCGGGACATAATACCCCTTCTACTTTAATATCCACATACTTTTACTCACTTCTGGAGAGGAGGCGCAGGTCAGGACATAATACCCCTTCTACTTTAATATCCACATACTTTTACTCACTTCTGGAGAGGAGGCGCAGGTCAGGACATAATACCCCTTCTACTTTAATATCCACATACTTTTACTCACTTCTGGAGAGGAGGCGCAGGTCGGGACATAATCAAACTGACCCCAGGTGTTTTCAAACTGACCCCAGGTGTTTATCAAACTGACCCCAGGTGTTATCAAACTGACCCCAGGTGTTTTCAAACTGACCCCAGGTGTTTTCAAACTGACCCCAGGTGTTATCAAACTGACCCCAGGTGTTATCAAACTGACCCCAGGTGTTATCAAACTGACCCCAGGTGTTATCAAACTGACCCCAGGTGTTATCAAACTGACCCCAGGTGTTTTCAAACTGACCCCAGGTGTTATCAAACTGACCCCAGGTGTTATCAAACTGACCCCAGGTGTTATCAAACTGACCCAGGTGTTATCAAACTGACCCCAGGTGTTATCAAACTGACCCCAGGTGTTATCAAACTGACCCCAGGTGTTATCAAACTGACCCCAGGTGTTATCAAACTGACCCCAGGTGTTATCAAACTGACCCCAGGTGTTATCAAACTGACCCCAGGTGTTATCAAACTGACCCCAGGTGTTATCAAACTGACCCCAGGTGTTATCAAACTGACCCCAGGTGTTTCAAACTGACCCCAGGTGTATCAAACTGACCCCAGGTGTTATCAAACTGACCCCAGGTGTTTTCAAACTGACCCCAGGTGTTATCAAACTGACCCCAGGTGTTATCAAACTGACCCCAGGTGTTATCAAACTGACCCCAGGTGTTATCAAACTGACCCCAGGTGTTATCAAACTGACCCCAGGTGTTTCAAACTGACCCCAGGTGTTATCAACTGACCCCAGGTGTTATCAAACTGACCCCAGGTGTTTTCAAACTGACCCCAGGTGTTATCAAACTGACCCCAGGTGTAATCAAACTGACCCCAGGTGTTATCAAACTGACCCCAGTGTTATCAAACTGACCCCAGGTGTTATCAAACTGACCCCAGGTGTTACAAAACTGACCCCAGGTGTTATCAAACTGACCCCAGGTGTTATCAAACTGACCCCAGGTGTTATCAAACTGACCCCAGGTGTTATCAAACTGACCCCAGGTGTTATCAAACTGACCCCAGGTGTTATCAAACTGACCCCAGGTGTTTTCCTCCTCAGGGCTTCGTCATTGAACTCCTCCTGACTCTGGAGTCGGGCATCGACACGTTGGCCGACACCGTCAAAAACTACGACCTCCTCACCGCCTTAGCTCAGTAAGTCCTGACAACAAACATGGCCTCACTTCAAAATGTCTTTATTCCTGAAGACCTGAAAGGCAAGAGAGGACAAAACTATGCTGTTGATCCATTTCTGACTGTGATTTTCAAACTGTGTTCATGAACTCAGACAGTCAGGGATATCTCTCTGAGTTCATGATTCCAGCTTTGAAAACAGATTTAGAAAAAGTTTGGGCTGTATTTTATAATAAGATAATGTTTGACTTTTTATCCATATTTGAAATCCATATTTTTTAATTTTGTTTTACTTTTTTAAAGATTATTCTTGTTAACCATTTATTTGTATTCTTGAATGATAATGAATCTCCGTCAGGATAACCCTTTTGAGTTTAGTTGTAGTACTCAGCCTGAACACCAGAGGCTGCTGTAACCCAACAGACTGAAAGCATGAAGCAAAGAATAACTAAACGATGTGTTTGGAGTAACTGCAGAAAACAAAACTCACCGAGAAGAAAACAAGAATCATTATTTCTATTTCAATATTACTATTTTTATTTTGTATTGATATATAATTGTTATAATTTTGTAATTTATATATAATATTTTTTCTTTTGATCTGCACTTCAGCCGCTTGTTATTAAAATAAGTTATATATCAAACAAGCACTTTTTAAAAGCTTAACTAGAGATAAAAACTCTTCGGCTCAGGCTTAGACTTTTTTTTTTTATCATACATTTTTTATTGCAACATCATCAATTGACAGGCTTAGAAAATGTATTCTTTGTTGACATTACCCCCAGACCCCTGCATCTGAAACTGCACTAACTTTTATTCACCTATTTTTTCTTTTAATGTTTATTTTATTATCTTTTTAATGATTGTTTTTAAATGCCATTTTCTTAATGTCTTTCATTTGTGTAAAGCACCTTGAATTGCTTTGTGTTGAAAGGTGCTGTATTGATTCCTCTCCTCTCTTCAGGACCTCTGCGGCGCGGGACCACCTGCTGGGTCCCAAGTTTGCGGCCAACAGAAAGAGCACGGGTCAGCTGAACCTGAGCAGCGGGGGTCTCTTCCTGCACAACCGCAGCAACTCTCTCAGAGCGTCGCTGATGGGCGAGAAGAAGGCAGACAGGCGTCGCAGCAACACGTTAGACGTCGCAGATCGCCTCGCTAACAGCCACGGAAACCTCGCTCGCACTCGCAGCTTATCGTGCCTCGGAGGGGGTGGGGGTCCAGGAGGAGACACCCTACCCCCCGTGGACCCCTCCAACCTCATGGCCACCGTGTTCTGGATCGCCGCCTCGCTCCTGGAGTCAGATTATGAGTTTGAGTACCTACTGGCGCTGCGTCTGCTGAACACTCTGCTGGGTCCTCTTCCTCTGGAGCGGGCGGACAGCCGGCAGCGCCTGGAGAACGTTCAGAACAAGCTGAAGTGGTACAGCTTCCCCGGCCTGCTGCAGCTGTTCCTCAAGGGCTTCACCTCCGCCTCCACCCAGGAGCTCACCATCCACCTGCTCAGCAAGCTCATCAGCGTCTCCAGACACACTCTGGTGGACCCGTCGCAGGCGGCAGGTGAGAGGAGCTCTCCGAAGTGGAATATACACCTTTAAATTATGTTTTTCTTGTAGGTTTCACTCTGGTTAGCTTCAGACGTGCTAACTGTGTTCCTGCAGGTTTATCATCAGCTATATTAGCTTCAGACGTGCTAACTGTGTTCCTGCAGGTTTATCATCAGCTATATTAGCTTCAGACGTGCTAACTGTGTTCCTGCAGGTTTATCACCAGCTATATTAGCTTCAGACGTGCTAACTGTGTTCCTGCAGATTTATCATTAGCTATATTAGCTTCAGACGTGCTAACTGTGACTCTCCCTGCAGGTTTCCCTCTGAACATCCTGTGCCTGCTCCCTCACCTGATCCAGCACTTTGACAGCCCGACGGCGTTCTGTAAGGAGACGGCGGATAAGATAGCGAAGGTGTGTGCGGAGGAGAAGTCTCCCACCCTCTCTAACCTGGCCCACATGATGAGCCTCTACAGCACGCACAGCTACTCCAGAGACTGCAGCAACTGGATCAACGTGGTCTGCAGATACCTGCACGATGCCTTCGCTGACATCACCTTGAACCTGGTCACCTACCTGGCTGAGGTACGAGGGACTACCTCTGCATTTTACTGTTATCATCTGGAGAGACATTTCTGCCTGTAGCCAGAGGTGGGAAGTACAAATACTTTGTTACGGTACTTAAGTACATGTTTCTGGTATCAGTACTTTACTCCACGACTTTTTACTTTTCCTTCTCACATGTTGAACTCAAATACCTGTACTTTCTACTTCTCACATGTTGAACACAAATACCTGTACTTTCTACTTCTTACATGTTGAACTCAAATACCTGTACTTTCTACTTCTTACATGTTGAACTCAAATACCTGTACTTTCTACTTCTTACATGTTGAACTCAAATACCTGTACTTTCTACTTCTCACATGTTGAACTCAAATACCTGTACTTTCTACTTCTCACATGTTGAACACAAATACCTGTACTTTCTACTTCTTACATGTTGAACACAAATACCTGTACTTTCTACTTCTCACATGTTGAAACCAAATACCTGTACTTTCTACTTCTTACATGTTGAACTCAAATACCTGTACTTTCTACTTCTTACATGTTGAACTCAAATACCTGTACTTTCTACTTCTTACATGTTGAACCCAAATACCTGTACTTTCTACTTCTTACATGTTGAACTCAAATACCTGTACTTTCTACTTCTTACATGTTGAACCCAAATACCTGTACTTTCTACTTCTTACACTACTACTAATACTTTTGATATCTCTGCCTGTTTTAATATCTAAGCTGATGTTCTCTCTGTTTGTCCCTCAGCTGTTGGAGAAGGGACTTCCCAGCATGCAGCAGTCCTTGTTGCAGATCATCCACAGTCTGCTAAGTCACGTCGACCTATCGGCGGCGCCCGTCAAACAGTTCAACCTGGAGATCATGAAGATCATCGGGAAATACGTCCAGGTGAGAAGCAGAGACATGTATTAGCGCCACGTATGTTCTTCACTATTGTAGGTTAGAAAACAATCTTTAAAGAAATGACCTTGGGTGGTAAGATCATGTTTACACATATCATTAAACTCCTAAATCAGGAAGAAATAAAACAGACATCCTGAGGTAATGGTGGGGTACATTTACTAGAAATAACGTACACTTTTATCATTCAATCTCATATTATTCAAGATAACCAAATATAAAAAGTTCAGAGAAATGTCTAAAATATTCTGAGACCAGTAAGTCTGAGTAAGTTGTACCTTTACCCCGCAAAACTTCCAAAACAAACGTTCAAATTACATGTTGACATCTGAGATTTTGAGTTAAACATTTGCACAGATGTTCCTTCAATTGTCCGTAGTACTCCCTCGTATCTAATATACAAAGTAAAGTCATTTTCCTACAAGTCCATATGAATACATGGGGTTTACTAGATAAATATAGCATGAGGGCGCTGACGTCAACATTATGGCCCCGCCCACTTTCAGGTGGAAATACCGCATTAAAGAAAATAATATTGTCTTAAAGCTGCGGAGTCGTATATCGCTCCTCAAACTACAAATACATCCAGAGGTTTCTTTACTTCCTCTACGGAAAGAAGAGACTCAGAAATCTCAGTGTCAGACCCACCGGACATCCATCCCATAATTATTCTCAGTGAAAACAAAGCTGTCTGACGCTCTGTTTGATACTCATAGTAAAACATATAAGAAATATCAAAAAATAAATCTAAAATGTTTAATCTGAACATCATTTAAAAATAAACATTTAATTTTAAATCCCCCAAAAAATAAATAAAAGGAAAAAAATGTAATCTAAAGAAATGTAATCACATTTTTTTTAAAACTTTTTTGATACTCAGATTTATGGAGTAAAAATTATCCAATTATTAAAAAAATATATATATAAATCTAAAATGTTTAATGTTTAATAAAATCGAAAGAAAATGTAAATCCCCCCAAAAAAATAAATAATCGAAAGAAATTTAAAATCTAAATAAATTAAAAAACAAAAGCTGTCTCTGCCGGCTTCTTAGTAATTATACAGTTTTTTAGGAACAGAAATATATTAAAAAGAAATCTAAAGAAATCCATATCTCAAAAAGTGTAAGTCTAAAAAAAATCTAAATCTAACAGAAAGAATTACGATTTTTATACAGTTTCTGAGGAACAGAAATCTTGCTTTCTGGAATCACTTTAATATTTTACTGGGACAATCTGCATTTTGGTTTGAGGGCGCACCGTTACCCTGAGTCTGTCTCACTACTCATCACATTATTATCGGCCAGTAGCAGCTCCATGATCTCCTCTATCTCCCCCCTGTGGGGCGGGTCACTGCGTGCAGCTCCATGATCTCCCCTATCTCCCCCCTGTGGGGCGGGTCACTGCGTGCAGCTCCATGATCTCCTCTATCTCCCCCCTGTGGGGCGGGTCACTGCGTGCAGCTCCATGATCTCCCCTTATCTCCCCCTGTGGGGCGGGTCACTGCGTGCAGCTCCATGATCTCCTCTATCTCCCCCCTGTGGGGCGGGTCACTGCGTGCAGCTCCATGATCTCCTCTATCTCCCCCTGTGGGGCGGGTCACTGCGTGCATCCTTTAACCCCCCCTCACTTTAAACTAGGCTGAGCATGCGGGACATGTTAGGAGAGCACAGAGAGATTCTGAGGGGAGTATCTGCATTAATCCTTAAAAACACACTTTTTAAATTTACTTTTTTATTTATTGACTGACGTACCCTGTCTCCTCTGACTTACCCCCGTCTCCTCTGACGTACCCCGTCTCCTCTGACGTACCCCCGTCTCCTCTGACGTACCCCCCGTCTCCTCTGACGTACCCCGTCTCCTCTGACGTACCCCCGTCTCCTCTGACGTACCCCCGTCTCCTCTGACGTACCCCCGTCTCCTCTGACGTACCCCGTCTCCTCTGACGTACCCCGTCTCCTCTGACGTACCCCGTCTCCTCTGACGTACCCCGTCTCCTCTGACGTACCCCCGTCTCCTCTGACGTACCCCGTCTCCTCTGACGTACCCCCGTCTCCTCTGACGTACCCGCCCACCCCGTCTCCTCTGACATACCCCCGTCTCCTCTGACATACCCCCGTCTCCTCTGACGTACCCCGTCTCCTCTGACGTACCCCCGTCTCCTCTGACGTACCCCGTCTCCTCTGACGTACCCCCGTCTCCCCCCCCCGTCTCCTCTGACGTACCCCCGTCTCCTCTGACGTACCCCCGTCTCCTCTGACGTACCCCCGTCTCCTCTGACGTACCCCGTCTCCTCTGACGTACCCTGTCTCCTCTAACGTACGCTCATAGCAAAACAAATATTTTCCCCGTAAAATGTTAAAGTGATGCCAGAAAACAATATTTCTGTTCGTCACATATTTGGGATTTCAATTTTTTTTCTCCTCACTGTTAACCTCTGACCCCTCACTGTGTCTACTCACTGTGTCCCCTCTGACCCCTCACTGTGTCCCCGCTGACCCCTCACTGTGTCTCCTCACTGTGTCTCCTCTGACCCCTCACTGTGTCTCCTCACTGTTGACCTCTGACCCCTCACTGTTGACCTCTGACCCCTCACTGTGTCCCCTCTGACCTCTCACTGTGTCCCCTCTGACCCCTCACTGTGTCTCCTCTGACCCCTCTCTGTTAACCTCTGACCTCTCTCTCTCTCCCCTCAGAGTCCCCACTGGAAGGAGGCTCAGAACATCCTGAAGCTGGTGGTCTCTCGCTCGGCCAGCCTTGTGGTTCCTGACGATGTTCAGCGCTCCTACAGCTCAGAGTCCTGCGGCTCTCCAGAGATCGCCTTCACTCGCATCTTCAACAACGCCTCCAAAGAGCTGCCGGGGAAAACGCTCGACTTCCACTTCGACATCTCCGAGGTGCTGCAGCGTTTCCTGTTGCTTCTGTTCTTTATTAGGATCCCGTCGCAGCAACTTCAAATCAGCTGCCGTCTAGACCAGCGGTTCCCAACCTTTTTCAACTCGGGCCCACTTAAGAATCTAAAAAGGTTTTCGCACCGCACATTCAACCATAAACAATATGGAGGCTTAATAAAGTTCTGATTGGTCGATTCAGAACATGTGACACGTTGTTGATCCAGTAGAACAGACCGTTGCTAAGGACTGTAATGACCGTTGCTAAGGACTGTAATGACCGTTAGTAAGGACTGTAATGACCGTTAGTAAGGACTGTAATGACCATTGCTAAGGACTGTAATGACCGTTGCTAAGGACTGTAATGACCGTTGCTAAGGACTGTAATGACCATTGTTAAGGACTGTAATGACCATTGTTAAGGACTGTAATGACCATTGCTAAGGACTGTAATGACCGTTGCTAAGGACTGTAATGACCATTGCTAAGGACTGTAATGGCCGTTGCTAAGGACTGTAATGACCATTGCTAAGGACTGTAATGACCGTTGCTAAGGACTGTAATGACCGTTAGTAAGGACTGTAATGACCGTTGCTAAGGACTGTAATGACCGTTGCTAAGGAGGATCAAGAAAGAGAAAGGAAAAGATATTAATAATGAAATGTTTCCACACAAATCATAATGTTTTGTAAATTATTTGGCGGCCCACTTGCAATGCGTTCACAGGTTGGGAACCGCTGGTATAGAGAACATGATGAGTTGCAATGAAACACAATATCGATATAAAGTCTTTTTACATCTTTTATTGTATTGCTTCAAAGCGTGACGACTCCTTCTGAGTGCTCTGAGTGTGACCTCCCTTCTGTCTGTCACCTCCCTTCCTTCTGTCTGTCACCTCCCTTCCTTCTGTCTGTCACCTCCCTTCCTTCTGTCTGTCACCTCCCTCCCTTCTGTCTGTCACCTCCCTTCTGTCTGTCACCTCCCTCCCTTCTGTCTGTCACCTCCCTCCCTTCTGTCTGTCACCTCCCTTCTGTCTGTCACCTCCCTCCCTTCTGTCTGTCACCTCCCTTCTGTCTGTCACCTCCCTCCCTTCTGTCTGTCACCTCCCTCCCTTCAGTCTGTCACCTCCCTCCCTTCTGTCTGTCACCTCCCTTCTGTCTGTCACCCTCCCTCCCTTCTGTCTGTCACCTCCCTTCTGTCTGTCACCTCCCTCCCTTCTGTCTGTCACCTCCCTTCTGTCTGTCACCCTCCCTTCTATTGCATGTCTAACTGATTATCTCCCTCGTGTTTAGACACCGATCATCGGGCATAAGTACGGAGACCAGCGCTCTGCGGCCGGGAGGAACGGGAAGCCTCAGGTGATCGCTGTGACCAGAAGCACCTCGTCCACCTCCTCGGGGTCCAACTCCAACGGGCTGGTGCCGGTCAGCTGGAAGAGGCCCCAGCTGTCCCAGGTACACACACACACACACACACACACACACACACACACACACACACACACACACAGGGTGACAGATATTAGGGCATCATTGTAAATACTTAAAGCCATCTTTCAAAATTCTTAAAATGCAAACACGTGGGAAAAGGGATTTGATGATTTCTTCTTTTTGTTTTGCAATTTAATAATGATCTATTAAATAAGAAAATGTCGCTGACACTGTGTAGCATGTTCCTGCTGTGTGAAGCTGTGTTTAAAGACAGTCTCATGGTGTTTGTGTTGCAGAGGAGGACCAGAGAGCGGCTGATGAACGTCTTGTCTCTGTGTGGACCCGAGTCCGGCATCCCCAAAAACCCCTCCGTAAGACCCTCCTCTTCTTCCTCCTTCTCTAAACACAGTCTCTCTGAAATCACTGCAGGTGTTTATATCTGTTAGAGAACTCTCACTGTTCCCCGGCTTGAGCTTCAACCTCAGGATCCATGTATCCGTGATCCTCTCCAGAATGGAAGCAGTCATCACATACAGAGCATCAACTAGTTCCTGAACAGTGTCCTTCACATGCTGATATCCAAGAGAGGGAGTTACACAGTCACAAGATGGAGGGATAGAAAGCAGTATTCAATGTTCAAATCAATAGGCACGCAATGAATCTAAATAATAATGATCACGCATCAAACACACATTCAGACTAAAGGAACCAGGTGTTTGGAAAATGAGAGAAGTAGAAAGTACAAGTATTTGAGTTCAACATGTAAGAAGTAGAAAGTACAGGTATTTGAGTTCAACATGTAAGAAGTAGAAAGTACAGGTATTTGAGTTCAACATGTGAGAAGTAGAAAGTACAGGTATTTGTGTTCAACATGTAAGAAGTAGAAAGTACAGGTATTTGTGTTCAACATGTGAGAAGTAGAAAGTACAGGTATTTGTGTTCAACATGTGAGAAGTAGAAAGTACAGGTATTTGAGTTCAACATGTAAGAAGTAGAAAGTACAGGTATTTGAGTTCAACATGTGAGAAGTAGAAAGTACAGGTATTTGGGTTCAACATGTGAGAAGTAGAAAGTACAGGTATTTGAGTTCAACATGTGAGAAGTAGAAAGTACAGGTATTTGAGTTCAACATGTAAGAAGTAGAAAGTACAGGTATTTGGGTTCAACATGTGAGAAGTAGAAAGTACAGGTATTTGAGTTCAACATGTGAGAAGTAGAAAGTACAGGTATTTGAGTTCAACATGTGAGAAGTAGAAAGTACAGGTATTTGAGTTCAACATGTAAGAAGTAGAAAGTACAGGTATTTGGGTTCAACATGTGAGAAGTAGAAAGTACAGGTATTTGAGTTCAACATGTGAGAAGTAGAAAGTACAGGTATTTGAGTTCAACATGTAAGAAGTAGAAAAGTACAGGTATTTGAGTTCAACATGTGAGAAGTAGAAAGTAACAGGTATTTGAGTTCAACATGTGAGAAGTAGAAAGTACAGGTATTTGAGTTCAACATGTAAGAAGTAGAAAGTACAGGTATTTGAGTTTCAACATGTGAGAAGTAGAAAGTACAGGTATTTGAGTTCAACATGTGAGAAGTAGAAAGTACAGGTATTTGGGTTCAACATGTAAGAAGTAGAAAGTACAGGTATTTGAGTTCAACATGTAAGAAGTAGAAAGTACAGGTATTTGTGTTCAACATGTAAGAAGTAGAAAGTACAGGTATTTGTGTTCAACATGTAAGAAGTAGAAAGTACAGGTATTTGGGTTCAACATGTAAGAAGTAGAAAGTACAGGTATTTGGGGTTCAACATGTGAGAAGTAGAAAGTACAGGTATTTGTGTTCAACATGTAAGAAGTAGAAAGTACAGGTATTTGAGTTCAACATGTAAGAAGTAGAAAGTACAGGTATTTGTGTTCAACATGTAAGAAGTAGAAAGTACAGGTATTTGTGTTCAACATGTAAGAAGTAGAAAGTACAGGTATTTTGTGTTCAACATGTAAGAAGTAGAAAGTACAGGTATTTGTGTTCAACATGTGAGAAGTAGAAAGTACAGGTATTTGAGTTCAACATGTAAGAAGTAGAAAGTACAGGTATTTGTGTTCAACATGTAAGAAGTAGAAAGTACAGGTATTTGGGTTCAACATGTAAGAAGTAGAAAGTACAGGTATTTGTGTTCAACATGTAAGAAGTAGAAAGTACAGGTATTTGAGTTCACATGTGAGAAGTAGAAAGTACAGGTATTTGGGTTCAACATGTAAGAAGTAGAAAGTACAGGTATTTGTGTTCAACATGTAAGAAGTAGAAAGTACAGGTATTTGGGTTCAACATGTAAGAAGTAGAAAGTACAGTTATTTGGGTTCAACATGTAAGAAGTAGAAAGTACAGGTATTTGTGTTCAACATGTGAGAAGTAGAAAGTACAGGTATTTGAGTTCAACATGTAAGAAGTAGAAAGTACAGGTATTTGGGTTCAACATGTAAGAAGTAGAAAGTACAGGTATTTGAGTTCAACATGTGAGAAGTAGAAAGTACAGGTATTTGTGTTCAACATGTAAGAAGTAGAAAGTACAGGTATTTGGGTTCAACATGTAAGAAGTAGAAAGTACAGGTATTTGTGTTCAACATGTAAGAAGTAGAAAGTACAGGTATTTGTGTTCAACATGTAAGAAGTAGAAAGTACAGGTATTTGAGTTCAACATGTAAGAAGTAGAAAGTACAGCTATTTGGGTTCAACATGTAAGAAGTAGAAAGTACAGGTATTTGAGTTCAACATGTGAGAAGTAGAAAGTACAGGTATTTGTGTTCAACATGTAAGAAGTAGAAAGTACAGGTATTTGTGTTCAACATGTGAGAAGTAGAAAGTACAGGTATTTGAGTTCAACATGTAAGAAGTAGAAAGTACAGGTATTTGAGTTCAACATGAGAGAAGTAGAAAGTACAGGTATTTGTGTTCAACATGTAAGAAGTAGAAAGTACAGGTATTTGTGTCAACATGTAAGAAGTAGAAAGTACAGGTATTTGTGTTCAACATGTAAGAAGTAGAAAGTACAGGTATTTGTGTTCAACATGTAAGAAGTAGAAAGTACAGGTATTTGGGTTCAACATGTAAGAAGTAGAAAAGTACAGGTATTTGGGTTCAACATGTGAGAAGTAGAAAGTACAGGTATTTGTGTTCAACATGTAGAAGTAGAAAGTACAGGTATTTGAGTTCAACATGTAAGAAGTAGAAAGTACAGGTATTTGTGTTCAACATGTAAGAAGTAGAAAGTACAGGTATTTGTGTTCAACATGTAAGAAGTAGAAAGTACAGGTATTTGTGTTCAACATGTAAGAAGTAGAAAGTACAGGTATTTGAGTTCAACATGTGAGAAGTAGAAAGTACAGGTATTTGAGTTCAACATGTAAGAAGTAGAAAGTACAGGTATTTGTGTTCAACATGTAAGAAGTAGAAAGTACAGGTATTTGGGTTCAACATGTAAGAAGTAGAAAGTACAGGTATTTGTGTTCAACATGTAAGAAGTAGAAAGTACAGGTATTTGAGTTCAACATGTGAGAAGTAGAAAGTACAGGTATTTGGGTTCAACATGTAAGAAGTAGAAAGTACAGGTATTTGTGTTCAACATGTAAGAAGTAGAAAGTACAGGTATTTGGGTTCAACATGTAAGAAGTAGAAAGTACAGTTATTTGGGTTCAACATGTAAGAAGTAGAAAGTACAGGTATTGTGTTCAACATGTAAGAAGTAGAAAGTACAGGTATTTGGGTTCAACATGTAAGAAGTAGAAAGTACAGGTATTTGTGTTCAACATGTAAGAAGTAGAAAGTACAGGTATTTGTGTTCAACATGTAAGAAGTAGAAAGTACAGCTATTTGGGTTCAAACATGTAGAAGTAGAAAGTACAGGTATTTGAGTTCAACATGTGAGAAGTAGAAAGTACAGGTATTTGAGTTCAACATGTGAGAAGTAGAAAGTACAGGTATTTGTGTTCAACATGTAAGAAGTAGAAAGTACAGGTATTTGTGTTCAACATGTGAGAAGTAGAAAGTACAGGTATTTGAGTTCAACATGTAAGAAGTAGAAAGTACAGGTATTTGAGTTCAACATGAGAGAAGTAGAAAGTACAGGTATTTGGGTTCAACATGTAAGAAGTAGAAAGTACAGGTATTTGAGTTCAACATGTAAGAAGTAGAAAGTACAGGTATTTGAGTTCAACATGAGAGAAGTAGAAAAGTACAGGTATTTGGGTTTCAACATGTAGGAAGTAGAAAGTACAGGTATTTGAGTTCAACATGTAAGAAGTAGAAAGTACAGGTATTTGTGTTCAACATGTAAGAAGTAGAAAGTACAGGTATTTGGGTCAACATGTTAGGAAGTAAGAAAGTACAGGTATTTGAGTTCAACATGTAAGAAGTAGAAAGTACAGGTATTTGTGTTCAACATGTAGAAGTAGAAAGTACAGGTATTTGAGTTCAACATGTAAGAAGTAGAAAGTACAGGTATTTGAGTTCAACATGTAAGAAGTAGAAAGTACAGGTATTTGTGTTCAACATGTGAGAAGTAGAAAGTACAGGTATTTGAGTTCAACATGTAAGAAGTAGAAAGTACAGGTATTTGGGTTCAACATGTAAGAAGTAGAAAGTACAGGTATTTGAGTTCAACATGTAAGAAGTAGAAAGTACAGGTATTTGTGTTCAACATGTAAGAAGTAGAAAGTACAGGTATTTGAGTTCAACATGTAAGAAGTAGAAAGTACAGGTATTTGGGTTCAACATGTAAGAAGTAGAAAGTACAGGTATTTGAGTTCAACATGTAAGAAGTAGAAAGTACAGGTATTTGGTTCAACATGTAAGAAGTAGAAAGTACAGGTATTTGGGTTCAACATGTAAGAAGTAGAAAGTACAGGTATTTGAGTTCACATGTAAGAAGTAGAAAGTACAGGTATTTGTGTTCAACATGTAAGAAGTAGAAAGTACAGGTATTTGAGTTCAACATGTAGAAGTAGAAAGTACAGGTATTTGAGTTCAACATGTAAGAAGTAGAAAGTACAGGTATTTGTGTTCAACATGTAAGAAGTAGAAAGTACAGGTATTTGGGTTCAACATGTAAGAAGTAGAAAGTACAGGTATTTGTGTTCAACATGTAAGAAGTAGAAAGTACAGGTATTTGAGTTCAACATGTGAGAAGTAGAAAGTACAGGTATTTGGGGTTCAACATGTAAGAAGTAGAAAGTACAGGTATTTGTGTTCAACATGTAAGAAGTAGAAAGTACAGGTATTTGGGTTCAACATGTAAGAAGTAGAAAGTACAGGTATTTGTGTTCAACATGTAAGAAGTAGAAAGTACAGGTATTTGGGTTCAACATGTAAGAAGTAGAAAGTACAGGTATTTGGGTTCAACATGTAAGAAGTAGAAAGTACAGGTATTTGGGTTCAACATGTGAGAAGTAGAAAGTACAGGTATTTGTGTTCAACATGTAAGAAGTAGAAAGTACAGGTATTTGAGTTCAACATGTAAGAAGTAGAAAGTACAGGTATTTGAGTTCAACATGTGAGAAGTAGAAAGTACAGGTATTTGTGTTGAACATGTAAGAAGTAGAAAGTACAGGTATTTGAGTTCAACATGTGAGAAGTAGAAAGTACAGGTATTTGTGTTCAACATGTAAGAAGTAGAAAGTACAGGTATTTGTGTTCACATGTAAGAAGTAGAAAGTACAGGTATTTGTGTTCAACATGTAAGAAGTAGAAAGTACAGGTATTTGTGTTCAACATGTAAGAAGTAGAAAGTACAGGTATTTGGGTTCAACATGTAAGAAGTAGAAAGTACAGGTATTTGAGTTCAACATGTGAGAAGTAGAAAGTACAGGTATTTGTGTTCAACATGTAAGAAGTAGAAAGTACAGGTATTTGTGTTCAACATGTAAGAAGTAGAAAGTACAGGTATTTGAGTTCAACATGTGAGAAGTAGAAAGTACAGGTATTTGTGTTCAACATGTAAGAAGTAGAAAGTACAGGTATTTGTGTTCAACATGTAAGAAGTAGAAAGTACAGGTATTTGGGTTCAACATGTAAGAAGTAGAAAGTACAGGTATTTGAGTTCAACATGTAAGAAGTAGAAAGTACAGGTATTTGAGTTCAACATGTGAGAAGTAGAAAGTACAGGTATTTGTGTTCAACATGTGAGAAGTAGAAAGTACAGGTATTTGTGTTCAACATGTGAGAAGTAGAAAGTACAGGTATTTGTGTTCAACATGAGAGAAGTAGAAAGTACAGGTATTTGAGTTCAACATGTAAGAAGTAGAAAGTACAGGTATTTGAGTTCAACATGTAAGAAGTAGAAAGTACAGGTATTTGAGTTCAACATGTGAGAAGTAGAAAGTACAGGTATTTGTGTTCAACATGTAAGAAGTAGAAAGTACAGGTATTTGGGTTCAACATGTAAGAAGTAGAAAGTACAGGTATTTGGGTTCAACATGTAGGAAGTAGAAAGTACAGGTATTTGAGTTCAACATGTAAGAAGTAGAAAGTACAGGTATTTGGGTTCAACATGTAGGAAGTAGAAAGTACAGGTATTTGAGTTCAACATGTAAGAAGTAGAAAGTACAGGTATTTGGGTTCAACATGTAGGAAGTAGAAAGTACAGGTATTTGAGTTCAACATGTAAGAAGTAGAAAGTACAGGTATTTGTGTTCAACATGTAAGAAGTAGAAAGTACAGGTATTTGAGTTCAACATGTAAGAAGTAGAAAGTACAGGTATTTGAGTTCAACATGAGAGAAGTAGAAAGTACAGGTATTTGGGTTCAACATGTAGGAAGTAGAAAGTACAGGTATTTGAGTTCAACATGTAAGAAGTAGAAAGTACAGGTATTTGTGTTCAACATGTAAGAAGTAGAAAGTACAGGTATTTGAGTTCAACATGTAAGAAGTAGAAAGTACAGGTATTTGAGTTCAACATGTAAGAAGTAGAAAGTACAGGTATTTGTGTTCAACATGTGAGAAGTAGAAAGTACAGGTATTTGAGTTCAACATGTAAGAAGTAGAAAGTACAGGTATTTGGGTTCAACATGTAAGAAGTAGAAAGTACAGGTATTTGAGTTCAACATGTAAGAGTAGAAAGTACAGGTATTTGTGTTCAACATGTAAGAAGTAGAAAGTACAGGTATTTGGGTTCAACATGTAAGAAGTAGAAAGTACAGGTATTTGAGTTCAACATGTAAGAAGTAGAAAGTACAGGTATTTGGGTTCAACATGTAAGAAGTAGAAAGTACAGGTATTTGGGTTCAACATGTAAGAAGTAGAAGTACAGGTATTTGGGTTCAACATGTAAGAAGTAGAAAGTACAGTATTTTGTGTTCAACATGTAAGAAGTAGAAAGTACAGGTATTTGAGTTCAACATGTGAGAAGTAGAAAGTACAGGTATTGAGTTCAACATGTGAGAAGTAGAAAGTACAGGTATTTGAGTTCAACATGTGAGAAGTAGAAAGTACAGGTATTTGTGTTCAACATGTAAGAAGTAGAAAGTACAGGTATTTGGGTTCAACATGTAAGAAGTAGAAAAGTACAGGTATTTGTGTTCAACATGGAAGAAGTAGAAAGTACAGGTATGTGGGTTCAACATGTAGAAAGTAGAAAGTACAGGTATTTGGGTTCAACATGTAAGAAGTAGAAAGTACAGGTATTTGAGTTCAACATGTAAGAAGTAGAAAGTACAGGTATTTGAGTTCAACATGTAAGAAGTAGAAAGTCGTCAGAAAAATAAGTAGTGGAGTAAAGTACTGATACCAGAAACATGTACTTAAGTACAGTAACAAAGTATTTGTACTCCACTACTTCCCACCTCTGAATGCAGTTGGGCTTTGTTATCATGTGTACTCTGATATTGAAGGAGTGTTTTCCCAACTATCTCCCCGATGTGCAGGTGGTGTTCTCCTCCAGCGAGGACCTGGACTCGGCGGAGCAGCAGACCAGCCTGATCCCCACGGTGGAGGAGGTGGTGCGGGAGGAGGACCTGATGGGGGAGGACGGCAGCGAGCAGCAGTTCGGGGTCTTCAAGGACTTCGACTTCCTGGATGTGGAGCTGGAGGACGCCGAGGTGAGAGAGGAAGCTGAACGCTGGGTTTACTCCAGAAGTTCGGGGTGTAAATATTTAAACATTAAGGAAATCTATGGACTAACATCTCCTCTGGGTGCGACAATATCCCAGAGACACGTTTAGCATTCGTGCGTTAATGTTTCAGAACTGTGGTTTCGTGGAACCCTATTGTTCAAGCACTGCCACAACTTTGATGTAATTGTTTATATATTGTATTTCAAGGCAGGGGGATAACTTCACTTCTTCCTTAATGGCGTCGATTTAGTTTGTATCGTTGTGAGTCAGGATTGCTGCACAGATGTTTTGATCAACAAGTGAAGTACTCTATCGTTCAGCTCCAGATACCAGCGACTAAATGTGTGTTAATGATAAACTGAGGCATAACATTTGTTAAATTGCACTTATCTTTCTTAAGAAACGTCAAGTTGTTCACAATGTTTTGTAAAAAGAAAGATAATTATGTGTGAACACTTTCAGAAAGTACTATTTTGCTCTGAAACAAAGGGGAGAATTTGGAGTTGTCGTTATTTATAGATTATTATGCTCTGATGGTATTGATCCAACGCACTGAACTAAAATGAGTTTGAATATCGGCGTATGAGCAACAGACCCCTGAAAGCTTATATATTCAGCCAAGAACAAGGCGTGTTTTTGTGAGTCAAGTAATCGCATAGGAAAGAAAGCAACTCGTTTGCAACCCGATCTCTGCTCCTCTCTCTGAAGCACTTTGACTGTTCTTCACTAACCGAGTGTTCTGTATCGCTGTGTGTTCAGCTTCTCTAACGTCTGTGTGTAACTGTCTTCAGTCCACTAACCCGTCTTCCTGTATTCCTTCTCTTGTTCTCTTGTTCTGCCTCAAGGAGCTGCAGGTAAGTCTGAGGGCTACAAACTCTCTGCAGACCCCCCCCAAATGCTGTCTGTGTGTTTTCACCTCATAGTCCTGTAGTGACCCCTGGTTTAAATGCTGTTGGAGATGCACCAACAACCAATTTAAACTTATCTTGAGACATTTTATTTACAGCTTTGACAAACATTTAGTAACTTTTCTTTCATGCAAAATGTAAATGAAATGAGTCTATAATAAACAATTTGATCAAATGTTACTTTAACCAAATGTTTCCTCACCTCTCGCTGAAGACTCTACGCACGGTTCTGTGTGCGATGTTAAACCATCGTGCAGGACGTGTGAATGGTGCGGTGCATCTCGAACTCCTGTGGTTGTGAATCCTTTTCTTTTGTAGTTTTAAAACCTTTACCATCCCAACATGTGTTCTGTCTCTCAATCTGCATCCGTGTGTCTATACGGTGTGGCCAAATGCCTCCTGATGACTGGCTGCTGATCCTAAATCCTGTTTCAGCTCCGTAGCGGTCCTTTGAACCTAACAAACTAAATGTGTTATATTCCACATAACTAGTGTCACAGATACAAGACAGCAGGACAAATGTCAGTGCTCCCAGTTCACGACATGTTTACTAAAAGGTGTATCTGAGAGGAGACGCAGCAGATGTTTCATGTTCAAGGGTTCAAGGCTTTCATCATCATGTGTTCGAAGCTGCAGTGTAGATATATCAATGACAACCTGAGGGCACAGGCTCCTCCATCAGAGCAATGTAAGGGAAGCTTCTGCAGCAATGGAGAGTCAGGACTCAGAGAGACACGAGGAGAGTTGGAGCTTTGATGTCAAACAATGATAGTTTATTACAAGTCAACGGCCGGAGAATTCACATCACAAGTCACAGCAGCAAAAGGTTCTGACTGCACGGGTGGGTTGCCATGTCAATTCTGCCCAGCCTATCTCTGGATAGACCTTTTAACTAGTTTACAGAGAGTTAATGAGCATATTGGGGGAGGCGTAAACATCTGTGGAGCTACAGGAGATATCCCCCACCTAGAAATACTCAATCACTTATCAGTGGTGTTTAGAAGCCAGCGTTCTCACAGTCGTAAACCCCCCCATCAGGCCATAACACTGACACTGAAGTGCTGGAGCACATTCCTTAAAGGAGATAACAGAATATTGGTTGGTTATTAACGTCAACAGGCAATACGGTTAAATATCTAGGAGTAAAAACAACATTATTCCCTCACAAGCAACACATTACAAAAAGGACAAAATACAACTAAAATAGTGCAAAATGAAACGGAGTAGGACAGTATGGACATGTTGCATTACTAGTCAAAAGAAGCCCCCGTCCAACAAGAAGACACCACTGTAAAAGCGGAGTGCTCCCAGTTTACAACATGTTCACTAGATTCAAGGCTTTGTTGTCATGCGTCCAGCAGCTACAGTTTAGATACGTCAAGGAAAGTCTGAGGCTCCTCCAACAGAGCAACACAATAACAAGTAAACACAAACAATCGGCGTTGAGTCACAGCAGTGGATTAAATGTCGTGTTCTCGTTGTGTTCACCGTCTGCTGCTCTGTGTTCTCTGAACGGTGTCTCACTGCTGCTGTCTTCCTGCAGGGGGAGTGCATGGACAACTTCAACTGGGGGGTGCGGCGCCGCTCCCTGGAGAGCATGGACAAAGGGGGGGGGGACACGCCGTCGCTGCAGGAGTGCCAGTTCGCCGGCAGCACGCCCAGCCTCAACCTCACCAACCACGAGGACACGGACGAGTCTTCAGAGGAGGAGGTACTGAGCCATAGACACGTCCTCGTAAGTCCTCCTGTAGCAGGGAACCACCCACCCCCCACCCACCTGCTGCTCAGACGCTGGCATGGGGAGATAGGGTGAGAGTGAGGGAGAGAGTTTGAGCGTGTG